TACATTGAGCTATATTATATTCTTCTCTCTGCTCGAATGTAAAGTATACATTATAAGGAATATGTCAGACTATATAACACATATTGTATTTAAGTAATACGGTATATTACTTTTGCACCTATATGTCTCTATATATATATATATATACACACATGCATAGGGTATATTGCGTTCAAGGTACTATGCAATGTAAAAGACGTTATATGGTTGATAATATCTTTTACATGTAACATAATTTTACATGCTAAATCTAAGTTTATGCTGTAATAATATGTACTAGTTCTATTTGATTGTGATTCATGAAATCAAAAACATGCAACTACCCACATCCCTGGCATGCTGGGCGACTGGCAGACTGGTCCTCCATCCATGTCTCTGAGACCGGCATGAGCCGGATCGGCGTCGCTCTCGAGACATGAGTTTACTAGGGTCTTCAGACCTATAGGTGTACCCAAGCCAACTTTTGGGATCCAGATGTGGCAGAGGACTTTGGGAGTAAGGGCTGAACGCAAACGGGTTTGCGTGGCTAGATGTGGCTTGGAGCTGGATGTGGGGTTTTATGATGTCTGAATGCTGCAGGGCTTCACCGTGACGTGATGCTAAGCTTAGCTTGCGGCACAAGTTGCTTTTTGCGCTCTTGTTCTTCATTCATGCATTGAAATAGGGGTGTAGGTTTCGCTGGTAGTCCTGGCAGAGACGCATCATGTATAGAGACGCGCACATAGAACTTCTGATGCCCAGCACATGCCAAGAACATAGCCTGATCCCCTAACCTAATGCACCCTCAACCCACACAGCCTTAGCCCCACACCTGTCGGCTTCCAGCAACTGCTAAAACTCATCTACAGCCGGCAACGACACTGCTGCATGTAGTCGGTCGCGACTAGATCCACATCCCTGCACACGCCTGCCTACCTACCTCCCTACCTACCAGTAGCTACCAGTACCTGCCAGTATCTACCTTAACTACCTACCCACCTACTGTACCTCTTTACCTACATACCTCCATGCATGCTTTTTCGATACACACATACATACACACACATACATACACACACATACATACATACATACATACATACATACTTACTTACTTACTTACTTACTTACTTACTGTAAGCTACTTGCTTGCATACATACGTACATGCATACACACAGACACACATACATTCCCAGATGTATGTGTGTATACATATATGTAGCTACGTGATAATTTCAGATCGTCGACCACAGGAATATCGGCTAAAAACATGCAGTGTCTGCTGTCACTTCCCGCGTGAAGCCGAGGGTTTAACACCGGAGACTCCAAGGTTTCGAGCATCCCGGCCTGTGGGATGCGCAGGCCCTACAGGGTCCATAAACCCTTTCGGGTTTAGGGTTTATAGGGGTTCTTACTAGGAGTTTAGCCTGCAAAGCCTACATATGGTTTAGGGACTTGAGGGTTTACTGTGCCCACACCCCAGCATGGCTTTTTAACCCCCCCGCTGCTCGTTAACGCGCCGCCGCGGCGCTGCCTCGCAATCAAACCGATTGCCTTCCGGACAGGCCTGCATCCGCGCTGAGGCCGTTCTGTGTTTGTGGATGGAAACCAAGTGGGTAGTTGTCTACATTACACTCCCTGTTTTAGGTCCCCAAAATAGTAGGGCACCCTTACAAAAAAGGCCCTGACAGGGACCTTAATTTAGAGAACTACCTAAGCATATCATTCGCAAGCTGCTCTGAGCCCTCCGCGAGAAGATGATACCCGAAGGTAGAGCCTCCAAGTCATATAGGGGCCTAAGTAGCTACGAATACTATTTTGGGGGCTCCTTGTTTAAGATGTTGGTAGAATATACCCCAAAACCCCTTACATTAGCGTGCTCCCATGCTGTAGGAAGACCCATGATAGCCCTCACGTAGGGCGACAACAATTGCGGAGTCTCCAAACGCTGACGGAACCTGCAGTAGAGTGTAAAACGACCTGCGAACCATGCGCCTGAAATAAATCTGACATAATCAAGCCATTCAAGCGCCATCCTCCTATGGTTTTAGACTCTGCGCGATGGCCGTGATGACGAGGACTATGGATGTTTGTTGTCTTGCCCCACCCTCAGCGCAAATGCTTGTCCAGGGTGAAACTCCACAACCGTCGCTGGGCAATGACAGGCGAACTTCAAACACCATCAATTCCATCAGTGGTGGGTACAATTCAAGGCGGTGTACAGCAACTCGTGGTAGCAACTAGCCAGTCCGAGCAGCCGGACACCCTTCACAATTCATACTATTTCGTGCGAAAATGTCGGCGTTTAAGGGGTTCCGGGAGTAACCAACGCCAGCAAACAATTCGGTACACTCTGATGATGAACCTGGCGCGCTCTTCCGGGCCTGTCAGGGTACCGAGCTCTGGGAAAGCTAGCAAGCGGTGTTGAAGTGCCTGCCTTGCTCGGCTATATACACTTCGACGAGTTGTGATTACCCGCCAAACAACATGTGAGGGTTTCGATTATATACATATATATACATATATATATATATTGCATGGCCCTTGCAAAAAAACTGTGCCTTTGTTGTGTACGGTTCTGTCCATGATGAGCCCTGAAAGTCGCACCAGGAAGCCCTAAAGCCTAAACGCCAGGCCACAGCTCCTAAGCACATGCTCTTTTTTTTGCAAATTTCTGCGGTGATGGGCTAGCTGGCGCTCTACGAAACTCGAAAACCCTAAACGTTAAACCTCAAACCCTAAGCCCCAAACCTCGATTCCTGAACCCTAAACCCTGAACCCTAAACCTGAAACCCCAAACCGGCGCCCTCCCCAAAGCGAAGAAGAGGTCTGCCCCTCGGCCAGCTCGAGACTTAAGTTTCACTCCATGCAACAGAGATACTTGGGCTTGAGGTCAGTTTCGGGTTTAAGGTTTCCGAGACTCCCCAACAATATGTGTACCACCTTTTGCTTAGGGTAAGCTTAACCATTAGAGTCTAGAATGTCTAGCTGGGGTTCGAGGCTTACGGGAGTTAGGTAACACACAACTCATTATGTTATGAAATGCTACGAACGATGAGCCATAATGAAGCACCTGCACCTAAAGCTCAAAGGGAGTAGTCCAGAGCGTGGGACCCCCCCCCCGGCACCATATAGCCTGTCAGATCATGTGGACCCCAAGCTCCAAGCAGTAAACCCTCTCCCTCCACCCTAAACTTGGTTTAGGGTTTAGGGTTTAGGGTGCCCTAAACTCTAAACCCTAATCGGGGTCCTTCTCTTAAGGTCTGTGAAACACAGGGGGTTTACTAAGCAAGGGTCTATGTACGGGCATTGGGTGTTGGGGGTTAGGGTTTAGGTTTAGGCTTTAGGGTATCGTGTATAACAAGGAACCCTAAGCAATAGCAAGGCTACTTATCAAGGCTACTATACTAATGACCCTCCCCAAACCCTGAACCCCCCCACATGAAGGAACCCTTGCAGCAACCTAAGCCCCTAAACCCTAAACACTAATTACACCCTAAACCCTAACCCCCGGAACCCTGAACCCTACACCCTAAACTCCAAAACCCTAAACCCTAACCTAAACCCCGAAACCCTGAACCCCTAAACCCTAAACCCTAAAACCCTGAACCCCTAAACCCCTAAACCCTAAACCGCGAAACCACCGAATCCCTCAAGTCCAGGTCCCTAAGGCCCAACGGCTCAAATGACCGGCGTCATACACTGCCTGAGCTTGCCGGGGTGTCGGTGTAGGGTTTGCAGTTTAGGCTTTCTTAAGGTTTGAGAGTAGACATGTATAGAAGGGTCAAGGCAGAATTATGGAATAGCAGGTATGATGATCATATAGGCTTAAGTCTATCTATATATATATATACACACACATATATATATACACATATATGAAGCATACATACATAATTATAGCAAGTATGATCGTCATACAGGTTTCTACAAACCTTGAGTGCAATAACATTGCTAAGGCTTCACGAGCAACGTCATGTCCGGCCCAGGGTTCTGCGAAGTGTTCGCTTCAGGTTGGGGTCGGGAACCTTCAAGGTTTTTTTTTTGAGTGCCTTTTTCCACCTTCAAGGGGTTTAGGGTTTAGGGTTGAGGGTTTAGGGTTTAGGGCTTAGGGTTGAGGGTTTAGGGTTTAGGGCTTAGGGTTTAGGGAACCTTCAAGGTGGAGTATAGCGGTAGTCTAAGCCCTACCTAGACCCTAAAGAACCTACCTTTGAAAGGACTTCTATAAGGAAGTCATGATGAAGAACCCAAATACGTAGGTTCTTTAAGCCGTGAGCTGGGAAATATCTCGGTGCTTCGGCTCTGGACCACCTGAAAAGCTTAAAAAACATATAGTCTCCATTGTAGTTCCTTGTTTGGCCACCTTATAAGATCCTAATTACAAGACTGGTTAAATCAAAGGAAAGAATTGCAATGGAGACTGCCGGTGTACTAAAGAGCCCCAGCATGGGAAGAAACAACCAGGCTGGCCATCAACAGCCCCCACATCGTCTTCTCTAACTGTTCAGTTCACATAGGGGGGGCAACTAAAGAAGCACCCAGCAAGCTACAAATTATCCAGAAACCCTTGACCCGTACCCGAAAGAGTTCCGACGAGTGACCCCGGACTAGTGACTAGAGCCGAGACAAGAAAGTCAAACAAGGAAGCCCACTGTAGAAGTCCACAGAATACGACTTGGGTGATACAATCATCAAAAGATTATGTAGCATACAATTCAATAGGTGCTGACACGTACGTCTGTTGTATTGTGAAAGTTGTCTGTAAACCAGATCAACATGGTGCCGATGCTGGCGATGGGCTACAGGGCTAGAGGAGCATGGTTTTGAACTGTAAATCTTGAGTTTCGGGGCGTTCTCCGACTCCCCCCAAGCTCCCAGACCAGTTGCCCTGCAGGGATTTGCAATGCTCTTTTTGTCTGGGCGCTGGCTCCCTGATCGATCGTTGGAAACCGTGAGACTTTTGGGCATTAAGGCTTTTAGGGTTAATCAATCGGCCAATTATCGGGTGGCTTCGCCGCCACTACTTTCGCAGGACTTCGTCCATGGGCTTGCCTTTAACAATCTCGTCCACGAGCTTGTCCAGAACGCGAACTTTGCGCATCACTGGGTCCTTGATTTCTTCAATCACGACGCCACAGACAGTCCCTGTGATCTTGCTGGCCTTCGGGTTGGGCCGTGGTGCCTGCTTAAAGAAAGTCTCGACATCCTTCTCGAGCTTGATCTGGTCCTTCAGCTTCTGCGGGGTGTAGCCCGTCAGCCAGCATATCGCTTGGTCCACGTCGCTCTTCTTACCTAGGATCCCCAGTAACCTAGGAGTGAACAATGGCTCCCTTTCTGCTTTTGGGTCGTTTTCTAGGGAACCTAAAACTAGAAAAAGGAAAAAAAAGGGCCCCACTGGAAGAAACCTAGTTACGCCCCTTCTTCTCGACCTTCTGCACATAAAGTGGGTAGATCCTGGCGAAAGACATGCCGAACACCCGGGGCTTCCCGGAAGAAGATCCCGGCTTGCCGGCCGGAGGCTTGTTTTGGGCGACCTCTTTGCCTGCAGGCTTTTTGCTGATCCTCTTCTTCGTCTTCGGAGCCATCCAGCTGCAATTCTAGAGTAGACCTTAGCCTACCCAAACCTACTTTTCTGCGGAACAGAACAGAAAGAACACCACACCCACTACAATCGAAGCCATACACATGAGCTGCTCAGGGCCGCACATTGCAGAAACTGGTGGGCGGGCATTAATAGCTGGCACGTCACCACGCGCTACCGCTTCAGGTCTTTGGATTTAAGTTCCCGGGCTTCTGTTAGCACTGGGCGTGAACCTAGGCATGCCACTGTTGCACGAAGCCGGACCCAGAGAGCCCAATACCCCTTAATTAAGGAATATACCTTAAATCATCATATTGAGGCCCCTGTAATTTAAGGTATGTTCCTTCTTTGGGGGGGCATTGGGCTCTCTGGATATACCTGGTTCTTGGTGCACGTCCTGCTGCTACTGCTCACCTGACCCCAAGCCCTGGTCCCCACCCTAAACCCTAAACCCTAAACCCAAAACCCTAAACCCTAAACCCTAAAGCCTCCCCGAATCGGAGACCCATATCCTGCAAACGACTCTAGGCCTTAAGTCGCAAGCCCCGAGGGTTTCGAAAGCTACACCACCCAAATAGTTTCTATTCTGCGGTTTAGGGTTTAGGGTTTAAGGTTCGGCAGAATATGCAGGCAAGATGAAGTCAATCCCCTTCAGATTCATCGTATCTTGATTCACCAGGAGAATGCAGTGACATTACTTCTATCATCTATCCATGGAGGCACTTGTTCTCTCTTCGGTCGGGCCTTCACAGGCTAAACTGGCCCCTATATTCGGCGGCTCAAAGCCCTGGCAGTTAAAGCTTCCATTTGAAGGTTCCTTCTTAGGGGTTTAGGATTTACCTATGTATAGGCTCCATAGCAGTTCCTTTTCGGGGTCACCTTACAGGATCCTAAGTATAAACCACAAAAAGGAACTATTATGGAGCCTATGGGCAGACCTTGCCACATGAGCAGCTGTCAAACTCAGGTTAAGACCCTTGACCAATTTCCAAGAGTGAACTCCTGAACCCTCACCCCTAAACGCGACACCGCATCGACAGGCTGAACTCAATGGTAACTACAAGTCTTACAAACATGAACCTAGATGATGCTGGTATCACTGCGACCATCGCTTGCGCACTGTTAGTGAAATTTGGGAACAACAAGTCGTCAACTCACGCACTCGATCGTACTCATACCCGGGGTTAGGCAAGCAAGCTTTCCTTGAGCCAGGCTTCCGTGGACTGTTGCAGGCCGTCACGACGCTGGGGCTATTCGCCCACGCGCCGGTGCCAAGTCCGCCCAGGGGGCCGACAGCCGGTGGCCTTCGATGAGGGGCTTCGGAGCGCACCGTAGCGAAAGAGCGCAAAAGGCTGAATGCGTAAGAAGACGCAAAACAAACAAGAACCCGGTAATACATAATTTTAATAGACTAGTCATCCATGCGGGGTGCAGTGAGCCAATCATCCGGGAGCTCCGACAGGGGTCTTCACGGTCTCGGACCCTGCACTTCTAGAAGGGCGCATAAAATTTTCTGCAACACTGCTCTGACTCTAAACCCCAAACCCCCTACGAACCTCTAAGATCCAACCTTAGCATTCTCCAATAGACGGAAAAGCCGATCTGACAACCGTGGCTCCTTTAGATCCCCTAAACCCTAGACCCTAAACCCCTACAGCCCTAAACCCTTAAACCCCTAAACCCCTAAACCCCTAAACCCTAAACCCTAAACCCCCTAACCTTAAACCCCTAAAATCCATCTACCGGACTTTGACAACCACAAGGAGAAAGGAGGGAGTGGTCTTCTCATCTGTACATGGAGAACGTACCAAATTTCCTCTTAGCCACCCAAACCTTATAAGCCAAAACCCTAAACCCCACAGCCTAAACCCTAAACCCAAACCTTATACTGCCAAACTCTAAACCCCGAACCCTGAACCCAAAGCTACACTCTAACTGCAAAGTTCTAACCTCTAAGCCGCAACCCCTAAACCGCAGACGTCCAGCCCTCTCAGTTGCCAGCAGCCGCGTCACCGACGGCACTCCGGAGGAGGAAGGAGCCCCCAGCCTAAGATTGGCTACGAATCCCTTTAAAACTGACTGTAAGGGGTTCTGTAATGGCTTCTATACGTTAAGGATTCCTTTAAGACTGAGTCTAAGGGGATCTTTTAAGACTACTGTAAGAAATAAGAGTATACTATTGTAACCAATCTACAATCGTCGGGATCACGGAACTAGGGTTCTAAAGCTTAAACCCCAAAAAACCCCTAAAGCCTAAAACCCCTAAACCCTAAAGCCTTAAACTCAAAACCCCTAAACCCTAAAACCCCAAACTAGGCTTCTAAAGCCTAAACCCAATGCAAGGCTCCCACAAGATTAGGATGCTTAGGGCTTTTGGGCTGAGGCGCCCACAGAGTTCCTGCAAGAGCTCTTATTGGGCTTCTATGCGGGCGACTACAAGGGTACCCTGTTTCGGGTTTGGGGTTAGGGGTTTAGGCTTCTATGCGGGTACTACAAGGAGTTAGGTTAAGGGGACCCTTAGGGATATAGAACCTCTCAATGAGGGCTAAGAAGGGTCCCCTTTACGGGGCCTCCGAAGTCCTACCTAGGAACTACAAGGGTACGTACCCTGTTTAGGGAATTGAACTTTCAAGCTTTAGGGTTTTAGGGTTTTCAAGGCGTTCCGGGAGAGATTAGGGTTGCAGAGGTTTAGGGTTTATCAGTGCCAACCCTAAACCCTAAACAGGGTTGAGGATTCGAGGTATTGGGGGGATCCGGGTGTAGGGTTCGGGGTTCCTCAGCACTGCCTCTTTCGGGCTCAGGTTTAGGATTGGGGCTGGATGGTCTCCCGGATAATTCAGGCCTTCGGGGCTTTAAGGCTTCGGATCTTGGTTTCAGACTGGGTCCTTGTCCACAACAAGACTCCATAAGACGGAAATCATACACAATTTTATTTAACTATGATGCATGTAACCCTGCAATGGTAGAAGTGACCATCTCAAGCTAACTCCCGAAGGCACACACGGCGTGCTTCGGGAGGCAAGCCTTCTGTGAGCTATGGCAACTGCCAAGCTACCTTCGTGCAGGGCCTAAGTCCAAAGCCTCAATCGCTGCAGTGCCATTATTCTCGAGCCCTTCTAGGAACGCTCCATGGAACACTGCATTGCTACAGGCCCTGAGCCTAAACCCTAAACCCCAAGACCTAAACCCTAAACCTTAAACCCTCAACCCTAAATAAACCCTAAACCCTAAACCGGCGCTTGCAGAGAAACTTGAGGACTCACAACTCCTCGGCGCAACCGAGATCCACGCCCACCCGTCAACCTGCGATCCGGAGCCCACTAGGGCCCCGGAGAATCTCGACTCCCTGAATGGGTTTAGGCTTTAGGGCTTAAAGGGTTTAGGGTTTAGGGTTTAGGCTTTAGGGCTTGAAGGGTTTAGGGTTTAGGGTTTAGGGTTTAGGGTTAGGGTTTAGGGTTTAGGGTTTAGGGTTAGGGTTTCGGGTTTAGGGTATTGAGTATAGGGTTCACAAGAAATCTCGACTCCCTGAATTATGGAGTATTGCCCTATGCTTCCAAGGACAGTTGGGGCTTTAGCCCTAGACCCCTTAAGGACCCAATAATGAGGTCCCCGGAAGCATAGGGTTGAGTATGCCAAAATTCCGCCGTTGCTCAAAAATCAACAAAAATGAATCCTAGTACTTCGCAGGGAGTGCAGGACGCAAGCTCTCGGTATGCGGCGACATGGGCGACATGGACAACGGAGCCGTTGCCATAGGCTGAGGCGACAAAGCTCGCGAGGATAAAGGCCTTGTGTTTTCGAGTTGGATGGTTGAGACCCCCACTAGTTTAGGGTTCAAGGTTTAGGAGTTTAGGGTTTATATCCCAATCTTAGCATGGCCGCCACAACTGCAACATTGACCACAATCACTAGGGATCTCTTGGCGGGCCTAGGTACAACCTGAACCATCCGATTGGGCTTTGACTACAGGGTGTGAAGATAAAGGTCTCAGGGGTTAGGGGTTAAGGGTTTAGGGTTCAGGATGCATATTGTAGGCCCCAGGAACCCACGAGCCGCCCATGGGGGTCTTGTTCCACAGCAGCCCCGACACGAAACGGTAGGCTTGATATCTTCTGCCAGGGCTTAGGGTTCGGGGTTTAGGGGTTTAGGGTTTAGGGTTAGAAGTTTCGGGGTTAAGGGGTTTAGGGTTTAGGGTTCAGGTTTAGGGGTTAAGGGCTTTGCGGGGCAGCCAACCCAGGACAACCGCGATCGAAGATCAAGGGATGGATGCTTGTTTAAGTGCGAACCTACTGGCTTCCCTGCACCCTTCCGCACCCCCGCCCCCCTCCACAAACAAACACAAAAGACAAAAACACAAAAGCCTAAACCCTATAATCCCCGAAATCTTCAAGCCTGATCCGCAGCCAGTCGGAAGAACCGACGCAGGAATTGCCGTTCAGAGTTCCGAACGTATTCCCGAAGGAGAAGCGAAAGATTAAACTTTCGAGTTAAGGTTGAGGTTGAGGGGTTACACTGTAGCAGTGATGGGTTCAGAAATTCGGGCGGGAAGGCACGTGCGTGTACAATCGAAACTCTAGAAAAATGGCTGGGAGTCGGCATCTCTAGCAACAAAAACTGTGAACAACACCAGCAAGCGACTACGACAGTGAACAGGAATTTCCCTGGACCCTAAACCCTAAGCCGTGGGCATCGTCTGTGCTGACATCGGCTGAGGCGGCACAGAGTCGCTTTGCGTCACGAGGCCCTGAACCTGAGAGCGCACACGGTTGCCAGTTCCAGCGTTTCGGCTTTGGGGTCTTCCGGCTTTGGATGCCATAGGCTCCATAGTAGCTCCTTTTTGTGGTTTATATTTAGGCCATAGTGGTTCCTTTTTGTGGTTTATATTTA